GGCATTGTTATTATCTCATCCCATATATCATAAAAAAATTTTAGAACTGTGTATTAACAATATTATTGGACAACGGTTACCCACTATTCATTTGATCTTTTAAAGAAATAAATAAGAGAATAAGAGTTTTAAACAATGGACAGTTTTAACAACAATAGAAAAAAGAAATTGCAGAAGATAATAGCAAGAAAAAATTTTTTGTCATTCCATACATTATAACATTTCTGAGACAATAGCATCGACAATAAACAAAATCAGATTTCAGAGTAGGATAACCGTTGTCAAATCTCTTAACAAATTTATTAAAGTCCACAAGGACAAAAACGTGCATAACAATAATAATAATGTTGTCTTACAAAATATTGTAAGGATTGTGAAGCTTCGTATGTTGGGCAAACCAAAAGAAATTAACGACGCACTAGACTAAAAGAGCATATGAATAATATTAAATTTGATTCCTCCAAGCATTCTGTGGTCTCTGACACATATTAATAAAAAAACATGCTTTTGATTGGGATAACGTTAAAATACTTGATATTGAATCTAATTATTATAAAAGACTTATCTCGAACATGATACACATCAAGGAACAAAGGCATGGTATAAATAATACCCACAGACACCGAATTGCTTAACAACGCGTATTTCGACATTCTAGAAGAAATATCGAATTTTTAGACTTATGTAAATGTTTATTTTGTGAGATCTGACCACCTATTTATTCGACTTTTTAAAGACTAGACAACAGTCAAGTACTAACAATAAGGCCAACAACACGTTAAAGCATCGTCATCTCAAGTTATTCGGAACAATTTGTAAGCATAAAGGTTCAATATTTTAGTATTTAGTTTAATTTGTAATTTTTATTTTTTTACATACACATTAGTGGAATCCTATTTTACAATTGATAAATTCTCTAAATTCAGTTAACAAATATCAAATAATTTGGAGAAGATGGACATAATCATTGCCAGATCGAGGGACTTTCGTCAAATAACGATAAGTGGTTCGTTTGGAGCAATGTATAAGTGTCACTCCGAGTTTTTAATTAATAATTCTAAAATATTTTATGAATAACCGGACGAATCATTCTGCTTCTAATTGGGTCTTACTTTGTTGAACTATTTTAAATGGTTTCAATTCATTGTAAATATATTTTGCGTTTTAACTATGACTTAACTATATAACTTATATTGACTATGTATTGCGGATTTTTTTATTAGAACTTTATGTATGTATTTATTTATTATGGGATTTATTATCATTATTTTTTTGCGCACTGAAGAGGAGCAAGTAGAGCTCAAAAAAAAGATATACGTGTCAGATATATTTAAAATAACATTAAAAAACAAATGTAGCACAAAATTCAATTAAAAAAAAACAGATATTATAAGACTTATAGACGATATGAAGAAAGGAATTAATAAAAAAATAAAATTAATTTAAAAATGATTTTGGAAAATAATAAATTATGAAACAAAAATAAAACAACGTTGAATATATGTATTATATGAAAAAGTAAAAAAACAACATATTGTTTCAACAAAAGCGGTTTTCATAGTAAAAGTAACGAAAGTGAAGGTAAATCTAGTAGCAGATGTAGGAAAAAAGCGGAATTGTAAAACTAAAAAAAAGCAATATGAAATAATGTCAGCAAAAGCGAAATAATAAGGGACAATATATAAAATTTGTATTATAATAAATTATTTAAGATTTAAATGATTTTATTTTCTTATATTATATACTCACGTGCTATTTGTATATGAGCGAACGCCTTTTTGAAATATTTCTTTGGTTACGGCGTGTTGCATCATGCGCAGTATACAGGGTGCTACAATTTACATCAAAATTATAAATTAGATATAGTATAAATATATATATTTATTATAATAGTTACATGTTACCGTAGTGATATTATAAAGAAAAATTTTATATATATATATATATATATATATATATATATATATAATATACAGGTATATGTATACATAAAAATATGTTTATATATATGTACCTATATGTATATATTTTAAATATTAATTAAAGAATATACATAAATATGCATATGTGTGTGTGTATGTGTGTGTGTGTGTGTGTGTGTGTGTGTGTGTGTGTGTGTGTGTGTACTTTTATAATCTCATTTTTTCAATAAATCTAGATGAAGAATTAATTATCTTATAACTTTACACATATTTTTATAATATTAATAGTTCAAAATTTTTGCAAATTATTTTATTACATTACGTTATATACCTCTGATGGATTCGCGAATTTTCAAGAAACTGTAATCTCGTAAAGTAGAATTCCACATACTAGAATCATCTAAATAAAAAGAAGTATGTTGATTTTGAACAACAAATAAATTTATTATTCGATTATCTGGATACATCTATAAAAAAAAATAATTATTATATCAATATAATTGCTCTGAACATACTTGCATGAGAAAAAAATACTAATATTATTAGCGGTTCTTCTATATTAAAAATAACACTTTCTCATTTTGTAAAACATACGAATAAATATAATAAAAACTAAAATATTTAAAAATATCAGATAAAGTGTGGAAAGGGGGTGTTAAAAAAAAATTTGTTTCATATTTTGCATTGTTCACATTATATTTATATGAATGTAAATATTTATAAAACAGTTCAATATTGTATACATATGTATATATTGCTAAATGTTTTTAAAATAATTTAGCAAGAATTTATGCATTTTGTAAAAATAATTTGATATACGAAAATCTTGCTATATAAATGCTTAAGTATGTTATCGTTTCCGAGAAAGTGGAAGGTGATAGCGTTGAAAATATTTAGTATAACCTCATTGACAGCATACGTTGCAAGCAATGTAGTAAGAGCTTTATTAAACCAAGCTAATTGAAATGGATTGCTCAGATTATAAAACCATTGCTGTGTCACTTTATGTCCTACTAATCGAGATACTTCGATTTTGCGAGCAACAGGATATAAATTTTTATCGTAAACGATATCCATTTCGCTGAAAGTTATATTTAAATGTTAGACTGAGAACTTTTATAGAAAATAAAATTTTATTTTTGTTGTAATTTTCTAATTTTATTGTTAGATGTACAATTTACAAACTCATGAGTACAAGGTAGCAAATCAGTATTTTTAATCATACCAAATAATAATTCTTTAAATTTTTAATTATTAACAGTGAATAACGCGTATCATTGATAAATAACTATATTTTTAAATGAATAAAAAAATGTCAACAAACTCAAACTTTGTTAATTATAAAAATAAACTTAATTTTTACTAATGGGAAAATATTTAAAACGATCAACTGGCTATTATTAATGGTGTTGATTTATTTGTGCAACAACGTTTTGAACCTGAATTAGGTCCTCTTCATATTAATCAATACAAAGAAAATTACAAATTATATAATACAAATAAAAAATTCTAATAAATGATATACAAAGAGCAAAGTCAAAAAATATATAATAAAAATATAAAAAATTATCAAAGTTAATAAATAAAAAGTAACCTGATGTTAAACGTCAATGTTAATTAATACATCTTAAATAATGAGATAGTAGATATTTGTTCACGAACGTGTGAATCAACATATAACAAAAAGTAGAAATTAATTTATATACGGTTCTTAACAGGCTCCATAGCATAATAAAAAAAGGGAAAGATATACTTTTACCTAACAAAAGAACGAACGTCGTCTATAAAATTGATTGCAAGGATTGCTCGGCGTGTTACATTGGTCAAACTAACTTTTTATTTATTAACTTTGATAATTTTTTATATTTTTATTATATATTTTTTGACTTTGCTCTTTGTACATCATTTCTTAGACTTTTTTATTTATATTGTATAATTTGTAATTTTTTTTGTATTGATTAACCTGAAGAAGACGCAATTCAGGGTCGAAACCTTGCTGCACAAATAAATCAACACCATTAATAATAGCCAGGTGGTCGTTTTAAATATATTCCCATTGGTTAAATCTTACTGACATTCAATTTTCTACTTTAATTTTTACTACTTAAAATTGTTGTTTTTACAATAACTTATACTTTCGCAAGTTTACAGAACCAAAGATATACCTACATGTTTTTCAATTTTATAATTCTGCATACTAATATATAATTTTATTTTTAAAGTAATTTTAAGTACTTGTACTCACTTATAAAAAACAAGTCCGAAAACTATTATGCCATTATCAGGGAAATTTGGCATTGCAACATGAGTCACCTTCGAAATATTGTTCGAATGTTGTTTCCATTTATTTTTAAAGAACAACAAGATTTTTTCAGCTACATTTTCTGCAAATTCCATGTGAAATACAGATCTGTTTCTGCACCACCTTTCAATGTTTTGAGTATAATTATCAACACATAATAAGTAATTGGATACAATTATTGTTGCAAGATACGGCGACATTGCAGGTGTGGTATCGAAGCGTTTCAATAATATATTGTGCTTGTTTTTTTCTGTATTATGCAATGGCATATTTGACAAAGCCGTGCATTGATTACATCCTATAGATATGTTAAAGGTTGCTTCTAAGAATAAATACTTTTCATCCCAACACGATGACATTTGTCGGGTGCCTATTATATGCAAATGAGTAGCAGCTACCAAACTATACATTTCAAAGAACATAAATTAATATTTTTAGCAAGCATCAAAATGTTGAAATTTAAAAATGTTTAAATGTAATATGTAATAATATGCATTAAAGATATAAAATTAGTAGTCTTTATATTTAAATTGCATGATATATAATAATTTTCGAAACATTTAATACAAAAATAATATATATTAATTACGAGATTTTATGTAATTGCACATTGCACATTGATTTAATAAACATATATTATTTACTTACGAGAATTCTTTTTTTACATCAAAAATTCTAAAGACTTCATCAGTAAAACCAAAATATTTAATATATAAAGTGTAATTTCCTGGTAATAACTCATCCTTAAAAGAAAGGTCAATTATGTCTTCTTCAAAATCATATATCGGATTATAAACTGTATACTTAATATTCTCATGATGTTTTTCTAGATTTTTAATTAAAACTATATTTTTAAAATATAATTTTTCTGAATATATGTTGTTGATTAATATATTTTGCGTTTTGTTAAGAATGCTTATGCTAATATTGTATTCTCCATAGAAAATGTATTTTTCAATATATGATATAAAGTTGATATCGTAATGATTTGGTTTTATATATTTTGATGGTTTATAGCATAAAGATGATTCGTTAAAAGTAGAAGCCGTCCCAACAATATACATTATTCCGCTAATTAATAGTAGGTTTAGAAATATCATCGTGTCGGAAAATTTATTTTAGGTCTGTAAAACACACTGTAAGCAAAAGACAAATAAAGAAATTAAATATAGTATTGATGTGTTTTTTAAATCACTAGACGACACAAGAGCGCGCTTGGCGCACGCTTTTGATATTATTTCTATTATTCATTTTACAATTGTCAAATTGTTAATTTTTGCGATGACAGTTGCTTGATAATATAAAAATGATCAATTTTAATTAGCCGAATTACTATTTTGACTTCTATTTTGTATATATACTGATAGTAGAATACTAATACGTTTGAGAAATACAACTTAATAATAAGTAAAAATTAAATTTTAATAATTATTAATTTCAATATATTTGAAAGGATAATTAATTTTTACGACCATTACTGGCTAATAAATATTTAATAATCACCACCCAACGTTTCGACCATGGGTTTTGGTCCTTCTCAAGTGTACTTAAAATTAAAAACCGTGAACATATTATTCGAATGAAACTTTTTATCGAACCGTGATAAAATAATAGCCAAGGACTACGCAACCTTCAATATATTGTCATTACAAGTAAGTATTAAAATACATACAGATATTTTTTATAAATAATAAAAAGTACGAGAAACTTTGGAAAACAGAATTTTAATAAATTAGTAATAAAAAAACAATTAAAAGTGTCTATTATAATATACATTATCTGTTAACTGTAGTATATTTGCAACTTTCAAAAATAAAATATTCGATATCAAACTTTGGTGGGTTCAAAATTATTTTAACTGTGACGTTAAATACCGGAACTAAAATTTATTTTATATTTCAATTTTATTTTAAAATATTAAATCAAATTGTAAACAAAAGTCGGCGATCGAATATATGTATATATATGACAACGAGCGAAACAATCATAAGAAACAGGTAACGAAAGACAAAGTATCAAAACAAACAAATTATAACAGCTTAACCGATATAAACAGGTGACCGGAGAATCGATAACTTGTCACTCGCTCAGCAAACTCGCGGAAGAAAAAACAAATAAAATTATATTTTGCAAGCGAAAGTTATACCTCGCGGTTATTGTAAGTCATTTATAATATTTTAAATGCAGAATTAAACTGAATAACGATAATACAACGTCTCTAAATTTATTACAACATTTCACCTAATAAAACTAATAATTCACCAAACATATTACAATTCGTAAAATATTATATTATCGATATTATTTGAAATTATCTTAAGATTAAAATTTACAAATAATTTTGAATAAAACTATTCTCTCTATTTCTATACATATGTTGGAAATTCTATAAAATTCCGTCCTACCGTATGATTAAATTTTCTTGAATCTGTAGTAAATGTATAATATGTATGAACACATATATGTTTAATATGTATGAAAATTGTTTTGACTTACCGAATATTTCGAAACAGAATGTCAATTGGAAAATTATATTGATTAGAACTATATATTGTTTTAAAATGAACTGCAGCAAATTAATGCTTTAGAAGTATGCAATGTTGGAAGAATATAATATATTCACACACTTTATTAAAAAGATTATATTTACCACCACGCGGTTCGAAAGACCACGAAAGACTGACTGATTCTCTGTACGTGTCTTCATGATAAATATAATGTGTTAGGTCAACAAAACTTTTGAGGTCGTTATATGTATATATATTTACATATATATTTATGTGTGTAGCGGCATTTATGTGTAACAGTTGTCTTAATTGAGCCTAGCACATTTAAAAGATGCTAAATTAATCAAATAAATAGGCATTATTTATACACTTTTCTCAACACTGACCCCGCTATTATTAGTTTTCATACAATTTTTCATTTTACAAAACCTCTTTGTATATAACATTTGCCGTAAAAGATTTCGGATTTTCTTTAATGTTGCAAATTTATGGAGGTGTGCGACAATGAGATTTTTAAGTTTTCTTTAGACTATTTAAGTCTGTCTGTATGTCTGTCTGTTTGTCTGTTTGACCACTATTTCGAACTACTTTCACATTCCTTGAAAAATTTGCAAAATTGTGGTACCAATTTCGAAAAAATCGGTCCATAAATATGCGATTGCGTGGGTGGGAGTGTAAAACTTAAAACAGAACATCCATCCCCGAAAAATTTGCAACATTTTGGTAATTGTTTCACAAAAATTGGTCCATAAATGTCGAAGTAGTTCGCGATCAGACAGACAGACAGACGGTGCTTATATCTATAGATATATATATTACTTATATCATAATTTAAGAAAAATGTATATAGTTGCACATTGCTATAAATTGCAATTTTCTTTAAATCACTGGAGTGTTTTTTTTTATACGAATCAATTTATCCACATTATTTCGTGCAAAAATTTATTCAGCTATAATAATATCGGAAGATAAATATATTACAAGATGTTTTATATTTTTGTCAGTATTAAACATAAAACGTTTAAAAATATAATAATAACTATCAAATCTCAAAAATGTCTCCATCTGAAATAAGATCATATATTTACGACGCGACGCTTCTTTCAAATTCTATAAATGTTGTATAAAGTATATTTTTCGGAAGAGAAATCTTGGTTCTGAAATAACAAAAATACGTTATTTAAAATGGATTACTTTATATTTTTTTTGTTAGAAATATACATTTGTTTATACACATGTTTATGCACAATATTGTGCCTACTTACGCCTGTATGTATATGTTATAAATATATATATATATATACTAAATAAATAAACTAGGGTTAAAGCCAAAATAGAATATAATTTTGATTGTAAATCGTGACTTTTTAATGAACTATCACGATACATCAAATCAGATGTGACAACAATTGTTGCGAATTTAAATTTAAAAAACCACTCCTCAATGTTTAAAGTCGACCAGACTGGCAATAATTTATTATAAATAATTATTTGAAATACAACAACGTTTCGGCTGTCATTGCAGCCCTTTTCAAGTACATCTATAAAAAGTTCAATCAAAATAATTATAATTTAATACACTTATTCGCAACAATTAATTATACATTTAAATACAAAAATGTGTTACATACCAAATTTAAAACAGTAAATCAACTTCTATGCAAACTACCGACAATGTTAACGCTTGTTTTGATGAACAATGTAAGACTGACAGAAGTAAGCACATATTAAATAGATGTTAACTGTTCACAAGAATCTTAGTCACTAAGCGTTAAGAAGATAGAGACGAAACTAAATGTGTCTTTCGTAATTTAAATCGTCATAATAAAGTCAAATAAATAAAAATAAATAAATAGGTGGATATAAAAATAAAAATAAAATTAAAAGTAAAAATAAATATAAAACGACTTAAATAACGTCAAGAACACGATCATAAATCCCACTGAAATTCTCCGTATCTTTCTGTAAATTAATACTTTTTTCTTGTTTTTTTATGTAAAACATTTCTGCAATTTCTCTTTTTCTTGTCTGTTTTTCCTCATGCAGAATCACCGGAGAATCCCAACGGAACTCATGATCGTTGCAAGTCCGATGTAAACTAATGACAGAATGCAATGTCTTGTCTTTTTTTATGTTATTTCTATGTTCTTTAATGCGCGTTTCTAAATGTCTCTTTGTCTGTCCTATATAAGCCGAATCGCAATTCGCACAATCAATTTTATAAACAACATCAGTTCTTTTTAAGTTTTCGATCCCATCTTTACCTCTTTTTATCAACGTGTCCAATTTTTTGGGACAGTATACAAAGCATCAATTCCACTTTTATTGATGCAACGCGTAATATTCTCGCTAAGATCTTTAATGTAAGGTAACACAATGCAATTTCGCGTATCAAATTTATTTCGATTGGGCGAGTTAAGATTACCGCCAAATTTAATCGCTCGAAGTCTTTTATTGATGTTTTTGTTATAATTGTTAACGGGTAACAATTATTAATAAGGATTCTTTTGATTAAATTAATATTTTCTTCATGAAAAATAGGGTCAGCGAGTAAAATAGCCCTATCAACTAGGCTTGTAATCACGCTAATTTTATATCTCATAGGATGATTTGACAGAAAATTAATATAGCGGCCTGAAAACGTAGGCTTTCGGTACCAATTAGTCGTCAATCTACCACCGATACGTATAACGTTCGTATCCAAAAAACTCAGAGAACAATTTTTCTCTAGTTCGAACGTAAACTTAAGTCGAGTGTGGAAACCATTGAACACACGAAGCATATCCTCAATTTTTCCTTTCGGAATAATTGAAAAAATATCATCGACGTACCTAAAATAACAATAGGGTTCGAAATCCAATTGACGCAAACAGTATGATTCCAAATCGTCCATAACAATGTCAGAAAGAATCGGAGACAATGGAGACCCCATCGGAGAACCGAAAACCTGTTCGTAAAATTTTCCGTCAAAAACGAAGCTCGTTGAGCGCATAACCGTGTCAATGGCGTGTAAAAACTGCGCAAGGCTAAACGAAGTAAATTGTGAGATGTCATCCCATCGGTTTTCTATTGCTATTTTAATTAATTCCCAAGGGGTGTTAGTAAAAAGTGAAGTTAGGGGAATTCCCCTTGGGAATTAATTAAAATAGCAATAGAAAACCGATGGGATGACATCTCACAATTTACTTCGTTTAGCCTTGCGCAGTTTTTACACGCCATTGACACGGTTATGCGCTCAACGAGCTTCGTTTTTGACGGAAAATTTTACGAACAGGTTTTCGGTTCTCCGATGGGGTCTCCATTGTCTCCGATTCTTTCTGACATTGTTATGGACGATTTGGAATCATACTGTTTGCGTCAATTGGATTTCGAACCCTATTGTTATTTTAGGTACGTCGATGATATTTTTTCAATTATTCCGAAAGGAAAAATTGAGGATATGCTTCGTGTGTTCAATGGTTTCCACACTCGACTTAAGTTTACGTTCGAACTAGAGAAAAATTGTTCTCTGAGTTTTTTGGATACGAACGTTATACGTATCGGTGGTAGATTGACGACTAATTGGTACCGAAAGCCTACGTTTTCAGGCCGCTATATTAATTTTCTGTCAAATCATCCTATGAGATATAAAATTAGCGTGATTACAAGCCTAGTTGATAGGGCTATTTTACTCGCTGACCCTATTTTTCATGAAGAAAATATTAATTTAATCAAAAGAATCCTTATTAATAATTGTTACCCGTTAACAATTATTAACAAAAACATCAATAAAAGACTTCGAGCGATTAAATTTGGCAGTAATCTTAACTCGCCCAATCGAAATAAATTTGATACGCGAAATTGCATTGTGTTACCTTACATTAAAGATCTTAGCGAGAATATTACGCGTTGCATCAATAAAAGTGGAATTGATGCTTTGTATACTGTCCCAAAAAAATTGGACACGTTGATAAAAAGAGGTAAAGATGGGATCGAAAACTTAAAAAGAACTGATGTTGTTTATAAAATTGATTGTGCGAATTGCGATTCGGCTTATATAGGACAGACAAAGAGACATTTAGAAACGCGCATTAAAGAACATAGAAATAACATAAAAAAAGACAAGACATTGCATTCTGTCATTAGTTTACATCGGACTTGCAACGATCATGAGTTCCGTTGGGATTCTCCGGTGATTCTGCATGAGGAAAAACAGACAAGAAAAAGAGAAATTGCAGAAATGTTTTACATAAAAAAACAAGAAAAAGTATTAATTTACAGAAAGATACGGAGAATTTCAGTGGGATTTATGATCGTGTTCTTGACGTTATTTAAGTCGTTTTATATTTATTTTTACTTTTAATTTTATTTTTATTTTTATATCCACCTATTTATTTATTTTTATTTATTTGACTTTATTATGACGATTTAAATTACGAAAGACACATTTAGTTTCGTCTCTATCTTCTTAACGCTTAGTGACTAAGATTCTTGTGAACAGTTAACATCTATTTAATATGTGCTTACTTCTGTCAGTCTTACATTGTTCATCAAAACAAGCGTTAACATTGTCGGTAGTTTGCATAGAAGTTGATTTACTGTTTTAAATTTGGTATGTAACACATTTTTGTATTTAAATGTATAATTAATTGTTGCGAATAAGTGTATTAAATTATAATTATTTTGATTGAACTTTTTATAGATGTACTTGAAAAGGGCTGCAATGACAGCCGAAACGTTGTTGTATTTCAAATAATTATTTATAATAAATTATTGCCAGTCTGGTCGACTTTAAACATTGAGGAGTGGTTTTTTATTAATTATTACTGGCAACCTTAAGGATTATTATTTATTAAATTACAAATTTCTTTGTAAAATTAAAATATTCTATAATTGATAATTATATAAAAAATTATTATATTTTTATCTTCCGAACATATATTATGTTATACATAAAGGCCTCTAAAAATTTTTAACAAAGTTTATTTTATCAAAACTCTCTGATAGCGCAATGAAATTTTTATTAATTTAAATAAAATATTTAATTCAATACTTCTGTATAATAAAAATAATTTATTTGAAACTAATGATATCGATTAGATGTTAAAAATATTTATTGTTTAATGTAAGAAAATTCTTTTTAAAACAGATAATTATTTATTTGTATCAAATAAATGATTTATATAGCTGTATAGAAATAAAATATTTTTAATTTAATAATTTTTTCAATGCGCGGATACTCTTTTATATGTGTCAATTTAATTTTTGGCAATATGTAAAACATTAAATTGATTTTAATTGTATAAGTAAAAATTAAATTAAATTATCATTAATTTTTATTTAAATGTCTAAAGAAGTTAATAATTGATTCTTCTTTTTTACAGTATTATATGTTAAGTGTCACAATTACTCAAATATCAATTAAAGTATTAAATCAATCATAAATATCTATTAAAAATGCGTACTACAAATTTACACACACAGACATGTGTTTAGTCTGATATTTATTTTCTTTTATGTGTAAATTATAATATTTTTCAATTTTAAAGGCATTTTATTCGATAAATTTTTATGTGTCATAAATTATTTGAATATTACGAATCTTGAATTAAGTATACGTTAATATGTGCGTATATTACATAGTATAGCTCCGTTTTCATATTCTAATCGATGAACTACAGAAAGGTTTTAAAATATTTTAATTGTTTTCCGATCTTTTTCGAATTTTTTGTTCATGTTATAAAATTGTTGTACAAATTTTACTTTGCGAAAAGAAATTCGACATTTATCATTAAGAATAGAAAGAAACGAAATAATGGAAATTAAATAATAAGATAATTTTATAATATTAAAATTTATCGCGTTGATTGGACGAAGCACAAGTTAGACGCGCACTTATTGCAACCATCAACTTGTGACAAACGTTTTAAAAAATTATTTCTTTTCTAGCTTTGCTTAAATCTCTTTTAAATATAATTGTAAGTTACAATTTAGATTGACACATTTTGCAGTATTTTTAAATCTATTTTCTCTCAGCTAGGAATGTTAAATTATGTTCTACAATTTTAAAGTTATGCTATTAAATTGTATAAATATTAATATTAATAACATTTAAAAATTAAAATGTGGATTTACATTACGAGAGAGAGAGAGAGAGAGAGAGAGAGAGAGAGAGAGAATTGTCATGTTATTTATTGTAAACTAAGAAAATGCTAATCTATCACAAATTCTACATAATTAATAATATTAAATGTACAAATTAATTAATTTCTGTAATAATATATAGTTTAACTGGTTCAAACAAGATCGCAAAAAAAAAATAAAAATCTTGATGCATGCAGTCATACTTTTATAAATGTAAATATAAAGGCATCGGATAGTAATACATCTAAATAAACAATATTTAAAGCAGTAAAAGAAGTAGTACGTACAAAATAAAAAAATTATATGAAAAAAATTCATATGAGGTACGTCCACATATAAAAAGCTGCAATTTTTTTTACATCCACCGATTAGAAGAAAAACCTTTCAAAATATTGTCTCTGCTTCTCGATTTGTTTTTTGCGAAATGAAACCCGGATTTTAATTTGGCTGTATATCTCTTTAATCACATTGTCACTTATCTGAAACAAATAGTTTTATTAATAATAATAAAAAATAAAATAAATAGTAATCTCATTCCGCATTATAAAATAATATTTATAAACAAAGATTTGCATACTGAAATTAATATACTGTTTATATAACAAATAAAACAAATATAAAAATGATATTTAGAAATTAATAAGCTAGAACAATATTTTATTTTCTTTTGCTTTTTATAATAATATTTATTAAATTTACCGTCTTCTTTTGATGTCTTCTAATTGTGTTATTTACTTCAACTAAGTTAGTTTCTAGAATACTGTAAGCGTTCATCATTATTTTCTAAAATGTATAATTTCAATACCATTATTAATAAATAACGTTATGGTAACATTATCAAAATATTTTAAACATTAAATAATAATTATTAATATCGCATTATTATCATATTTTGTATACATATTTAAACATGTTAAAATTTTTACCTCAGCTAAATATTCGGAATATACGTTATTAATCATAATAATTAATGCTGCAATTATATTAACATTTCTAAAAACAAAAAAATGTATATATATAATACATATAATAAACTTTTGTACAAAATATTTATAAAAATATGTTACTTTACTTTAGTTTTATTTCGTTAAAATTCTGGACTATATACTGCAGTATAATTGGATTCTTCGCATGCTTCGTAATAAAATGTAAGAAACTGTTAACGAGAAATTGATCTTCCTCTCTTGTATTAGAGTGCTGTTTATGAAATAAATACATTTTGATGAAATCAGTATAGTTTATGCAAGCCATGTATTCTGAAAATTTAATGTCAGTTGCTTCCACTTTTCTAATATACATTAATTCAAGAGTGGTCTCATTCATAGTAGTTATCATCAAACCTCTACAATATGTCCATGCCGTCCACCATGGCAAAAGTCTAAAATACAAAAAAATTTAATTTTATTATTAAAGATTGGCGTATCAACTCATTTGAACATTATAGGAGATATCTACAAAAAAATTTGATTGAGAAAAACTAAAAATATGTAACATAATTTACCTGTGTTTTATAGGATCTTGGAGATGTTGTTCTAATTTATTTTTCGCTTTCTTCATACAAGTGATGTCACCGAGGAAACATGCCCATCTTGCAGCTTCTTGTCGTAAACATATTCTAAGTTCGTCTGCATCATCAATTTCTTCATATTTGATTTTTGCAAGTAACTTGTTTAATATGGTTTTTGTCTTATTTATTTTATCCTAAAAATCATTAAATATATATTTCTTTATTAATATGTTTATAATTATAATTCATCGACAAAGATTTTAAGCATCCAGCTATGTATCCAAAACAATATTATATATTATCATTATTCACAGTAGTGAAAATCATACACTTTTGGAAACTGTTCATCGCGTGAGTGATTATTTAAACTGAATTAGTTTGCACATTTATGTGAGACGTAATAATATGTAAAACTTTATCGCTAGATATATTTCTCTATAAATATTTAAATTATTTGTGATCAATCAGTGTATATATAAATATTTAAATGTAATACTTTCATTGAAATTGATTAATATTTACCGCATATTTTTCAGTTCTTTCGTCCACTGGAAAAGTACTAAACATGTATTCCAGAGCTTTAAACATAGGATACCATGCGATATAATCTATTTCTCTATCCAAATACGATGTGATACTCCAGAATATAGAGGCTTCGAGTTGGTCTGCTATCATTAAATGAAATGCATCATCGATAATTTGGGCACGATTAAGAACATGAATTGTCGTAAAATCATCATAGTATAGATAATCTGAAATTCTTCGCCAATTCTCATCATCATAGTTAACGCGGTAATATCCTGTCGAATAATAAATAATATTTAACAATTTTTATTATTTTGAATAATTTTTATTATTAATATACACTTAATTTCAAACATTTTTGTTTAATAGTTTCGTTTATATAAATTATAAATTAAAAACGTATCAAAAATTTAATAAGATGCAAATACATATTGAAAATTAATTATAAATTAAAAATGAAATTGTGCGAGATAATGTTGTATAGCATAAAATAAAATTTGTTAGGACCGCGAACAGCTTTAGAATTTCGCGGGGCTTTAATGATTTAGGCCGTTAACTCGCGGCGCTAATATCGAGGGCGGTAAGCGACGGAGACCTGCGTGAAGGAACTGATCCTCACGCTCTCCCTTGTTCGTCTCCGACGGTCGTCGGGTGTAGTTCTCCTTTGTATTTGTACGTATCAATATATATACGTTAATAAAGTATTGGATTAAGCCTAAGCTAGAACTAGAGTTGTTTCTAGAAAATACAACAGTGGCGACGAGGATCGGATATATATATATTTTTTTTTTGTCGTTGGGTTGTTTGTTTTCCTTTCTTCATTATTGGTGGTATCGGAAGGTTACACGATAAGCCCACGTGCACGGATTATCTACACAGTGAGCTATTGCAAATTTCTTGGATAGGATGACTACTAATAATACTGGCGCGGGTTCCTCGCGGGAATTAGCAAGAACGCAAGAGATCGCTATTCCAAATTCCTTTACAATAGAAAATTTCAGTCCGGAAGTGACAACGTGGCGGCGTTGGTTACAACGGCTACAAGGAGCCTTTACGATTTTCCGGATCACGGGAAACGTGCGTGTTCCGTATTTACTACACTATATGGGACCTAGCGCATTTGATATACTGTGTGACCGATTAGATCCGGCTGACCCGTTCTCGCAGGATTACGAATCATTGACGGCCAAGTTGGAAGAATTCTATGATCCGGCTCCGTTAGAAATAGCGGAAAATTTTAAATTTCACCAACGGCGACAAATTGAGGGCGAACAAGTACAACAATTTGCGGCTGCCCTACACAAGTTAAGTTTACATTGTAAATTTGGGAGTTACTTGAAGACAGCCCTAAGGAACCAATTGGTTTTTGGTCTCTCAAGTAAGAAGATTCAAACGAGACTTCTTGAGAAGAAGGAGTTAACGTACGAGGAAGCGGTACAGATAGCCACCACGATGGAGCTTTCGGAGCAGGGAGCAACATCTTTACAAAATGGCGCTACAAGTCCAACGGCAGGTGTGGAATATCTACAGGCGGGGAAGAAGCCATTGAAGAAATTGAAGGACAACAATAATAATCATAATTCTTTTAAAAAGAAATTATCGATTACTAATTTTTCGAAGCAAAATAATAATAAGGCGTCGCGTTCTAACTCGAATAAGGAGGGCACTAAATTAATTAAGTGTTTCAGATGCGGAAAAGGGCATTATGCTTCCCAATGCACGTTAAGTAGAGAAGTACGTTGCTCGGGCTGTGGAGGATCCGGACATTTAGCAAAAGTCTGTTTCAAAAAGAAGGAGTATGCCAATAATTTGGATGAGGTATTACAATTGGAGCAAGCAGAGCAACGGGATAAATTCTTTTGCACGCTCTTAGTTAATAACAAGCGCATTCGTTTCGAAGTGGATAGTGGCTCTGCAGTCACGATCATGAATTGCGAGCAGGTACGTGCTTTATTTCCGGGTTCGACCATTTTCAGAACAAATCTTAATTTAATTTCGTATTCTAAGACAATAGTTAAAATCTTAGGATATATATCAGTGCATGTACAAGGAAATGAGACACGAAAGAAATTGAATATTTATTTAACTGAATTAGATAAAGAACCGTTATTAGGTAGGGAATGGATAAGGCAGTTGAAAGGTCAGCGTGGAGTGCCAGAGTTCCTCGAGTGCAAGTTATTAGAAAATATTAATTCTACGCCGCGGAATTTTCATAAGCGATTACAATTAACTTTACGTAAATTTGAGGAAATACGTGAGCCTACTTTGGCTAAGATTTCGGGCATACAAGCCAGACTTACAATGAAACCGGATGCAACTCCGGTATTTTTAAAGGCGCGGTCAGTACCATTTAAATTAATTCCTTTAATAGATAATGAATTAGATGAATTAGTTAAAGCGGGAATTTTTACAAAGACGGAAAACTCGGAATGGGCTACACCTATTGTTCCGGTGTTGAAAGCGAATGGCACTATTAGAATATGTGGAGATTACAAATCCACAATAAATCCTAAACTTATAATTGATGAACACCCGTTACCAACTACAAACGAACTTTTTGCTAAGTTAGCGGGTGGCGTTAAATTCTCAAAAATTGACTTACGCCAAGCTTATTTACAGTTAGAAATACACCCGGAAAATAGGAAGTTACTTACTTTAAATACGCATAGAGGACTTTACTTAGTTAATAGACTGATGTACGGTGTCGCATCAGCTCCGGCAATCTGGCAAAGAACATTGGAGCAAATATTGCAGGATATTCCTGGAGTGGCAATTTTTCTCGATGATATAGTAATTACAGGCCATTCGGAGGAGGATCACTTACATAGATTACATATGGTACTAGAGAGATTGCATAAGCATAACGTGCGAATCAACTTAGAGAAATCAGAGTTTTTTACACATGAAGTTAAATACTGCGGTTACGTATTACGAGAGGACGGTATACATAAAGAACCTTCTAAAATGGAAGCAATTAGGAGCATGCCGCGCCCACAAAATGTTTCTGGCGTCCGAGCTTTCATCGGTATGATTAATTATTATAGTAGATTTATTAAAAATCTAAGTTCAATCTTACGACCGTTAAATAAGTTATTACATAAGAATACTCGTTTCTCGTGGTCAGAAGAACAAGAAGTAGCTTTTAAAAAAGCCAAAGAGGCATTTGTGAGCAATCAAGTCTTGGTACATTTTGACCCGAAATTACCGGTGGTTCTCGCGACGGATGCTAGTCCCCACGGAATAGGGGCAGTACTTTCGCATACATATCCCGATGGGTCGGAAAGGGTTATACAATATGCGTCACAAACTTTATCCGATACGCAGCAAAGATACGCACAGATAGACAAAGAAGCATATAGTATAATATTCGGTATTAAGAAGTTCTATCAATATCTGTATGGGAATAAGTTTACTCTAGTTACGGACCACAGACCATTAGTACACATTTTATCTCCTAATAAAAGTTTGCCGGTTTATAGTGCAATGAGAATGCAGCATTACGCCATTTTCTTGCAGGGATTCAATTATACTATCAGGTATAGAAAATCGGAAAATCATGCGAATGCCGATTGCCTTTCGAGATTACCGTTAAAAGAATATACAAAAAATATGGATGTAATAGATGTTTTCGAATTAAGTACACTAGAAACACTACCGGTGGATGCAAAATGCATCGAGTTGCATACACGAAAAGACACGGAGCTACAAAAACTCCTACAAGCGTTACAATCAGGCACTCTGGCACATAGCGCTGACAGATTCAATTTAGAGCAAACGGAATTCTTATTACAAGAAGGTGTAATTTTTCGAGGACATCGGGTCGTAATACCGAAATCTTTGCATAAAAAAATACTAGAAGAATTACATACGGGTCATTTTGGAATAAATAAAATGAAAGGTATAGCTAGAAGTTATTGTTGGTGGAAAGGAATTGACAATGATATAAAAGCTCTAGTGGAAAATTGCCAAAATTGTAATACGTTCAAAAACAATCCACAAAAAGTGGAACAACACATTTGGGAGCCATCAGCGGCACCCATGCATCGAGTCCATGCGGACTTTGCAGGTCCTTTCTTAGGACGTTGGTTTTTCATCGTAGTTGACTCATATTCAAAATGGCCCGAAGTAAGAATAGTAAAAAATCTGATGGCGAAAACAGTTATAGAGGAATGCAGGGATATATTTACAAAATACGGCATCCCACAAATTTTTGTAACCGATAACGGTAGAACATTCACATCGACTGAGTTTAAAACATTTTTAAAACAGAATGGAGTGAAATTTAAATTTACGGCACCGTATAACCCAGCCACAAATGGCCAAGCCGAGCGTTTTGTACAGACCTTAAAAAAATGCGTTACGACGCATGAAGGCGGACACGACTAATGTACGCGAAAATCTTAGTAAAATGTTACTACAGTACCGTATTGCGCCGCATGCGACGACTAAAAAGTCGCCAGCAGAACTGTTTTTAGGTAGGAAGCTTCGCACAAGACTTGACTTGTTATTTCCTTTACCTGAGAAAGAGGAGACGAGTTCCTCATATTCATGTGTTAATAAAAGCTTTAATTTGGATGAGCGAGTATCGTGTAGGAATTATGTAGGTAAAGATAAATGGAAATTCGGAAGAATTAAAAAGCGTTGCGGAATAGTGCATTACTTAATCACGCTTGACGACGGACGAACCTGGAGAAGGCACGTTAATCAGATGCGATTAATAGGACAGGCAACTCCGAATCAAGAAACAGACTGGGATCACGGTCCCGTGGAGGATTTGATCGTTCGAATAGAAGCGAACGCATCGGAAAATAAAACTACCGATAAAGAGCAACAGAAAGAATCTTCACAGGAGATTCAACAACACCCGCCGGATCGTTCACAGCCCCGGCAGATAGAGATCGTTCCGCAGGAATCGATTAAGCAGCAAAAGAATGTAATCCAAAAAGGAACTATGCGGAAACCACGTGAGCCTGTTATAGGGAGCATTGTACGAAAATCCGATCGAATTGCGGCTAAAGGCACAATCGTCAAAGCAAAGAAATAATTCATGTTATGTTAAAGCGACGTTTTTTTTGTTACATGTAAAGAAAGGAATTCGCTTAAGAAAGAAAGGTGTTAGGACCGCGAACAGCTTTAGAATTTCGCGGGGCTTTAATGATTTAGGCCGTTAACTCGCGGCGCTAATATCGAGGGCGGTAAGCGACGGAGACCTGCGTGAAGGAACTGATCCTCACGCTCTCCCTTGTTCGTCTCCGACGGTCGTCGGGTGTAGTTCTCCTTTGTATTTGTACGTATCAATATATATACGTTAATAAAGTATTGGATTAAGCCTAAGCTAGAACTAGAGTTGTTTCTAGAAAATACAACAAAATTGATTCTAGTTGTGCATATGTATAATAATTATTTTTTACTAATCAGCAAAAGTTCTGTAACATGAAACTGTACAAAAATTTTATCTCACCTACACTTATATTATTATACTAATTTTATAAAAATAATTAACTTTTTAATCATTTTTACTATTATTAAAATAAAATATTTGTAAAAATATAACTTTAATATTGATTGATATTATGTTGAAAACGCCGATATATACATTTTATTAATTATATATAATAATACAGCAAAACATATTACACAAAACATTTAAAACTATAGTAGTTATATAATGAATATCTCAGATTTATATCTTATAATGTATAAAACAGAAAAATATAAAATAATGTTAATGTGTACGTGTGTAAAATAAAGACGAGTAATAAGTCATAATAAGTCAATTGGTCGATATTTACCTATTTGTTGTACATTTACTATAATCCAACCACGCTCGTTATGAGTGAATGTAAGAATATCTTTTGATTTGCAGAAAAGGCGGTGCATCAAACTGTCAAATCGGGAAC